CCAAATAAGTAATATATACACACACACGAAGTGTTAGGTAGTCAAACCGCGAAACTGTTAAGCGTCGCGACATGCCAACTCATGTTACTTGTCTTGTATCTTTCGGTATTTGGTCGTTGAGCGCGAAGCGCGAGGGTCAGGTTCAATCCTCATTCTACTTATAGGCATAAAAGTCTCATATTCAACGTAAATAACGACAAAGACTGAAAACATCACGTCCCTCACTGATTGCCCCCCCCCCCCAGTGGCACAGCGGTATGTGTGCGGACTTACAACGCTAAAATCCGGGTTTTGATACCCGTAGTGGGCAGAGTACAGATAGCCCATTGCGTAGCTTTGTGCTTAATTAAGAAAAAGAAAATAACTCTTTAACACAAATATATAAAAATATGTCTAACTGTTATTGTCTTCTCGCGACCCATAGTTTGGAAAACGCTGTTCAAAATATTGTGTCATTCGTTCTCTGTCAAACAAATATCTATATTAGAATATTAATATTTATAGAATAGAGTGTTAAATATATAGCTTACAACAGTAGTTAATAATTAGAGGCAGTGATGAAGTTAGAGCCAATATCTGAGAACTGAGAAAAGATATCCGAGTCGGAAATTGTAACATATTCAGAATGTATCACTTACTGTTATTCTTTAAAGCTGGTTAAAACCTGTCACTAGTTTTGACGTATGACGTTAGCAAACTGAAATATTTAGATATTCACTCTGTCGTTGGATCCATATTTTGTTCAATTTTAAGTACTTCAAAAGACTACATACCAAAATTGGTCAAGAAATTTCCTAACGTGCAAAATATAAATCCAAAATTCAGAGACGACTTTTAATTTTGGTCTTTGACCTAGGCATTAGGTATATCGTAATATATTTCCTTATAATGTCCACGGCCTACGTTAAAACAAAGTCGAAAAGAAAAAATGACAACTGATTGGGAGGATTTATCATATTTGAACAGTTTTCATACAACATTAGAAGAAAATCAAATTAATAAAGTATCTCAGTATTTTTATCGGTTGGAAATTTTACGTGTACAGTTAACTCAATGGTCATGTCTGTTTTGGTTACGACAGCATTCAAGAAACTGTGCTCTCCCTGAGATACAGTGGCAAGTCTGCAGGCTTACAATGCTAAAAATCGGGTTTCGATACCCGTGATGGGCAGAGCACACAGATGACCAATTGTGTAGCTCTGTGCTTATAAACAACCAAGGTAACCATGAAATTTTAAATATCTCTTGACAAGTGGAAGCTTGGTCTTAAACGTGTAATATCTATTGTAACCAAGATATTGTAAATATATCTTGACAAGTGGAAGCTTGGTCTTAAACGTGTAATATCTATTGTAACCAAGATATTGTAAATATATCTTGACAAGTGGAAGCTTGGTCTTAAACGTGTAATATCTATTGTAACCAAGATATTGTAAATATATCTTGACAACTAGAAGCTTGGTTTTAAACGTGTAACACCTATTGTAACCAAGATATTGTAAATATATCTTGACAACTAGAAGCTTGGTTTTAAACGTGTAATATCTATTGTAACCAAGATATTGTAAATATATCTTGACAACTAGAAGCTTGGTTTTAAACGTGTAACATACTGGGGATTTTCCCCTCCCGACAGGTTTTTTATTCTATTTTCTTGCGGCACTCTCCTTACTCTGTATTTTTCCGTCGACTCTCGAGTTCTTTGCTTCGAACGCTTGTCCTTTGGCATTATGCCAAGTCAACGATCATCGCTCTTACCTTACAAGGTTTTTTTATAACCTCGTTCATACTTGCTAGAGGAACTAACCTTAATACTCTAACCCGGTGTTACAGATTGCTGGATATTTGTTACTTTACCTGTTAAACCTTTTTACCTCACTTCAGTTGTACATTAGAACATAGTAGTAGTAGCGTACTGTTTACACCCTTTACTTCATTACTTACTTTACATGTAACATAAGTTAGGTTGTATACGTAAATAACATCTATTAATCTACTTAGGGATGTTTCATTAAAATTACTAACTGAACCTTAAATTTATGTTGTAACATACAAATACGAGAAACACTACTGTACACGCAATAACCACGTGCCTTCCATGTGCCTGGTGCGTGAAGTTTTTGTGCGCATGACATTTAATAGCACATAGTTACGTTTTAACTTAATATATGTTTCATTACCAACTAATTAAAGATTTTGTTCAATTAAAATAAACGTTTACAGATTTTGGATGATCTATTTTACTAAGCTGTAAACATACCTCTGATAGGGAATGGTTTGATTCCATTCGTATTCGTACCGTTCGTTGTTCCGTTTACAGACATTACACAGCTTCAACGGCAGCTTATGACGGTGTAACTACAAGAACGATGGAAAACGCACAGATTCCGTACTTCGTGTAATTATTTTCTTTTTTTTTCAGTTGGCTTTATTTATTGAGCGACGTATGAACTCCGTCACAGGGTCTCGTGGTTTGTATTGGTTATACTTTCAACATTTATCGAACGTGATGAATGAACCAATAGGAAAAATCTTACGTTAACCGCGGACTTCGTAACAGTCTCACGTGTGTGTCAGCATTTTCCGTAGTGTCTCGTGAGCCAAGGTCTGTTGTTGCTCAAGAGTTCGTCTGAATACATCATTTATTTTGTTATCTAATCGGACACGTAAAACAGTATGATATCCACGTGCTAAAGACATGTTGCTAGAAAACTCTTGCGTTTCGTTGGTACGTAAGTCTGTCCGTTGTGACCAGCTTCATCTTCTACACAGTTGAGTTTTAGGGTCGTTTTCTTGTAATTGGATATATGTAACAAAAACCTTAACCAGCGACAGCTAATTAGAGAAAAATAACGTTTTATGTTACTTACTACACCGTACAGCCATTTAGATGTAACATTAAAGATATTTTATAACCAGTCACAAAGTCATAGAGGGCGCCAGTATCGACTGCAATATAGGTTTACCTTCTAGCATGATTCATTTCATATATTAAGAAGTAGTTGTCACTCTTCCTAAAGCCTACTCCTGTCTACACCCTATTCCCAAGACTTGCAGTTAGCTAACAGCGACTATTATTAGTTCTAGAGAAACTCTTGTCTTATCAAATAGTGCCAAATTCACAGTAGTCCTTACAGCTCACCCAAAGCGAGTTTTAATGGCAAAGGGACGCGAACTTTAAACTTCTGGATTTACCGTCTGTATATGCTAATTTTTAGGCAACGCCTGGCTCTACACAAACAAGCTTTCAACATAAATATAACAAAATATCGTGACATGTAATGTCTTAAACCGCGTGTCTCCCAATGGCTCATTGGTAAGTCTGAAAGCTTATAATGCTACAAACCGGGTGTCGACACCCATTGTGGACGCAGCACAGATAGACCATTGTGTATCTTTGTGCTTAATAACAAGACTGTATAACTAAATGCTTTCCAATAGCATAAGTAATTAAAATTACAGTTGATTTGCGTTAACTAAAGCAACTTTTATGTTCTAGGACTTGAAATCACGGCCACGTGACTTGAAAACACAATAATCATGTCTTTAATTCTACTTTAAAATATGTTTTTCGTGAAACTACAATGATGAACCAGACTAATAGCTACTTTCGGTTGGAAATTCCAGAAAACATGAAACATTAATCACAAAAACATAATCCAAATTTCAAATGAAAAAACGTGTGTCAAAAAAAGTTTCTTTGTCAGGTGATGAGAGAAACGAAAAGAGAAGAAAAAAAATGTCCATGTTTCTCGGTTTTGGTACTCTTCACTGGTGATCTCACTATGGTTATTTCCTGCCGTCTAGAAAACACTTAGAAATATACAGATGGTCCTTACGAAATTGTGTAAATATATATATATATAAGTCATTTAACTGCTTGTGTTTAGCACTAATCAGTTCATATAGATAGGATAAGTTGTAGGGCAGCTACTTTCTCAGCTTCAGTGCTCGTAACCCTAGAATTCGAGGTTCTATCCCTGCAGCAGACACTGTTTATCCTAGCCCTAAATAATATCCACCAACCTCTTAACTTTATTTTGTACAAGCAAAAGTACCCGTCCTCAGTGACGCAAAAGTTTAAGTTAATCTATCAATTTAAATTATTTCATGGACATTAAAAAAGGGTTAATCGCGTTGCACTTCTGGTTTCACTCAGATCCATAGCTCTGATCTACTTATACCGCCCACCACGAAAAGTAATTGTTGAACATTTCAGTCATGCTAAGAGCCATTCAACAATAACATAAGGTAAATGTATATGTTTATTATTTAAGTTACGTCTCGTTTTGGTATGTGAATGATAACGTGATTATTTTCTAACAGTTTAGTGCTTGCGAAATAATATTTTCCATCAACGTTATTTATGCCTGTTCTCCCGTCATTTCAAAAGTGAATGTTAAGCTATGTGTGCGTGCGCAGCTTTTCAAACGGGAGGCAGACGAACGCTCTGACAGACACCACGGTTCGCAGTATTTATGATTACACATGTGTGCGCGCGTGTATGTTATTTCCAAATACCTACACTACAAACTAAGACACTTGGAACATTTTTGCAAAGAAACGATATTTTTATAGTACCTTTTTTTTATTTACATATATAGGAAATGCAAAACCTTCACTATAGACTAACACTATAGAATAACACCATAGAATAACACTATAGACTAACACTATAGAATAACACTATAGACTAACACTATAGACTAACACTATAGAATAACACTATAGACTTACACTATAGACTAACACTATAAGGTAATTGTTCGTTTACTCCAACGTTCAGCAACAACTTTAAGATGACCAGAACATTCATCTAACATGGAGAGTGGACTTTAATCTTATTAAATACGTTCTCACAAGGTCCAAAATTACCAAGCGAACAGTTGTCCAGTTTGGTACAAATCTATACAGGTCAAATACTTGACCATTCCATTATAGCAAACTGAATATAATCAAATCCATGGTATATCTTACATGTTAACAATTTAGAACCTGGTCAATAATTAGAATATTCAGTTAATCATCCCCTAGAAATAATAGTTAATTAACATACATAACTCGCGGCCGAGAGGTACACTGCGTCTAATTGTGTAACTTTAACCACTTTGCAGACAGTGCGTTTTTAGCGCGCTCAAACAACGCAACGAATGAGATTAGCGCGGCGATTTCGTAACATTCTATTTCTTTTATAACGCACTTTTTTAAAAGTTGATATACGTTTATTCACTTAGTGTTAAGTATTTTTATGTTTTTGGGTTCGTACTCTTTACAAAAATATATTTCTTATCTAAACACTCGATAAATAAAAATAAACTTCTAAATTGACACGAAACAAAGTTTAACGATTTAAAAGGTTTACACCTATTTCGAATATACATTGGGGTCTTGAAAATTGAACAATTCGACAGAATAGGATTGTATTTCTGCTTAGTGATTTTAAAACGTAAGTTTATTAGGAAACGTTACTTTTTCACCTCTTCCTGTAATTTGATACAGACGGCCTAACTTAGTTTTTCTGCATATTCACGGATTGTTACTTGTTCGGTGAGGAAATGTGTGTGAAAGTGTTGTTACTTGGCTCGCCTGTAGGGCTGTTTTCTCCGGATATAGCACGAGACTAGAATTGAGCAACTGCTTGTGGCGAAATAGGTGAAGGCCTTTTTCAGATGTTGGCAAATATCTCGGAACTCTAGTTCTGTGTGTCGTGAAAATAATAATAAGACAAAAATAAAAGTATGCAAAATAATATATAGGCTAAACAGTCAGGTCAGAGACTCCAAGGTTCAGACATAACATAGGCTAAACAGTCAGGTCAGAGACTCCAAGGTTCAGACATAACATAGGCTAAACAGTCAGGTCAGAAACTCCAAGGTTCAGATATAACATAGGCTAAACAGTCAGGTCAGAGACTCCAAGGTTCAGACATAACATAGGCTAAAGAGTCAGATCAGAAACTTAAAGGTTCAAAAATAACATAGGCTAAACAACCAAGTTAAAGATACTCCGTTCAACATTAACATGGACTAAACGGTCAGATCAGAGACTCCAAGGTTCAGACATAACATTGACTAAACGGTCAGATCAAAGACTCCAAGGTTCAGACACAATCATCCCTAACTAAGAAATGAATTAATACTGCAGTTACTCTTAACTAAATAACGATATTATCTGTCAAAATGATAATGTCAATATAGCTGGAAGAACAGAGCATGTTCAGTTATATATTACGGCTCGAACCTTAGACCCTACGATCAGCAGCCCAGCATGCTAACCTTTAAACCGCGTCCGACCATAAAAAAGAGAGTCGAAAGCCTTGGATATGACTTCATGCTCTAAGTTTCCATATGCGATTAAAAAATTAATAATTTTATGTTCTTGAATATTTTAGTTTTGCCCTCGTTTTAATTCTAAAAGCTAGTAACATAGCAACATTTTGGCATCGCTTCTACATACTTGTATCAAGGAACACCAAATAAAGCTATTATATATATATATATATACAAATGTAATGCAGTTTAAATAAGAATATATGTTGGAAATGTATTCTTAGAGCTATAGAAGAAGCAACGTATATTTACTAAGAAAAATGATTGTTGTAACAACTGTTTTGAGCCACCAATTCACTTCGTCTTAGCCAAGATTATAAATTAACAACCAGAACCGTAAAACAAACTATAGTTATCTGTGTTTAGCCAAAACATGGAGAAACAAGAACACGTATTCAATGCTTAACTTGAACAGGGAAAACAAACTATAGTTATCTGTGTTTAGCCAAAACATGGAAAAACAAGAACACTTATTCAATGGTTAACTTGAACATGAAAAACAAACTATAACATGAAACTGCAATTTTAAAGGGCGGGGGGATTGCTTCACGTGATGTTCCGACCTTATTTTGAAAGCATAGTGTAATGTACTCGCTTGTTTTGTTCTTAGACCAGAGCTTGTGCTGTGTGTGAAGATGATGAAAATGTAAGCTTAGTTGTCCATGTTCTATGTTATCTATATAAAAAATAGAAGTGGCTTTGTCATTCTGATGTCACTAGACCTATGGAGTAACAAGTCATCCAATTTCTTAATGATTTTTCATTTCAGACACTATATCTTGAATGTGCTATCATTCCGTTTTGCAGAGTAGCTACACTAGGTAGAAAAATGCATTGTTTGTTTACGTGAACAAATGGTCAATGTGTTTTATTGAAACAACATACTATTGTTGTTTTTTATGTTTATTTAAGGACACTTCTGATGGTGTATTATGGGTTTTACACTATTTTCAGTGATGTCTTCTGACGGTGTATCATGGGTTTTACACTATTTTCAGTGATGTCTTCTGACGGTGTATCATTGGTTTTACACTATTTTCAGTGATGTCTTCTGATGGTGTATCATTGGTTTACACTATTTTCAGTGA